TGTGTGTGTGTGTGTGTGTGTGTGTGTGTGTGTGTGTGTGTGTGTGTCCTTGAGCCTTTTGAGATGAAAGGAGAGAAATAAAAAAATAATAATAACAATTAAAAAACAAAGTATGTGCATATGGATGTTCATGTATGCATGTACGTGGGTTTCAATTGGTTGTTAGGCAAGAAAAACAACAAAACAAAAATCAATAATAGCAATAAATACATAAAGAAAATAGATATATACTATACAAATATTAATAGGATGACGTTTGCAGAAACATAGTGAGGGATGACCAGGTGGAGTGGTGTTCTGTTGTATTGTATATGATGGACGAGGTTAGATTGTCCATTGAAATATATTCTATCATTAAGTTTCTCCAGTGTGTGATGTGTGTGTTATTTCTTGATTTCCAGTTCATGAGGGTAGTTTTCTATAGTATGCATTGAGTATCTTAAGGAGTTTACCACACCAGGACAATTTATACAGTGTCACTTTATCAGTTAGAAAGTCTAGGAATGTAATTTTCTTCAACAAAATGTGTTGAGTGATTTGTTTCCCTTTTGTCTACTAACACACATCAATCCATCAGAACCTGCATTCAGCTCTGAGTGGCAGCCTGTACTCAAACTTGTATTTTCACCAGAACAAAGAAAGAAACACAGCCACTCACTTAGAATGTGTTTTGTGCTTTGTATGAACAGGTCTACCATGTTTTCAGACACAGACTGACATAAAAGAATTACTTGAAACCCTGGGCCAGAATGTAGTTACAAAGAAGAGAAAGAATGTGGAGATACTATGGATTGCTGGAACGGTGAGCAGTTTTTTTTATTGCGACTTTACATTATTGTCGAGGAAGACTCTTTTCTCTGAACGGCATTAAATAAACTTCCTATCTTGGTAACTGTGATCTGTAAACACTACGTAGCGTAGTATTACGTTTTTGACATATTGATATTTCATGTGCTTTAATGAGAGCCAAACAAAAAGTAACTGCCTGACTATGATGGATTGACTTTGGAAGAGGATACTTTATAGACACTGACCTTTTCCCTGGTATTCATCATCTGATAATGAATTGTTTAACATGTTCTTACAGTGCTTGTGATTCACAGAAGATAGATGTAAGAATCTACAGCCATGCTAGCGGCTCTGTGCTGATGTTCGGGTGGAAATGTGTTTACCATGTTCATCTTCTTAATTGAATGTGTTATCATGCTAATATTTTCTAATAAGTGCAAAACACAAAGTTCTGCTGAGTTAGAAGATCACCCAAGTTATTAAAGTCTATCTTCTGTGGATCACGAATGTCTCTACAAAGTTTTGTGGCAATCCATCTAACAGTTGTTGAGACATTTCTTTTTTTAAGCTATATTTTAGAGTTTTTTTCTATTTATTAGACAAGACAATGAGATTAACTATCTTCTCAAGGTTCTAATATGTACATAAAGAAAAAAAATATTGTAAAGTAACAAAAAAACAACACACATGTGTTTCAGCAAATAAGACCACAATGGTTTGAGGTAATTAGATTTAAAGTCAGGGTCAAATGCAGATGTAAAACAAGGCAAAGATTTTCAATTTGAGTCACTATTACTGACAAAGAAGGAACAATTTGCTTTTAGTGATGCATGTAATCATTAGGTGTGTTTTTCTTTCCACTTCCCTCCAGATCTGCCGAAGGTTAAATGGCATCAGGTTTACCAGCTGTAAAAGTGCCAAAGACCGGACATCCATGTCTGTCACATTAGAGCAGTGTGCCCTCCTACGTGACGAACACCAGCTCAGCAAGGATTTCTTCATCCGTGCTCTGGACTGTATGCGGCGGTAAGACAGCAATAGAAGATACTATAAACTATTATGGGTGCAAGTTATTATTCCAACCAATCCCAAACATGCTGCATTTAAAAAGTCAATCATCTATTTTGACTCAGTAATATGTAGCCGTGCAGATAGTTTTGGTTTTATTTGGTCAGATAAAATCTCAGAGATGTGTCTCCGAGATTTCCGTCACCACCCCCAATGCTCAAAGCTAAGAAAAACATGTAACAACTTCAGTAGCAGCTTGTCTCTCCAGAAAAACAGTTTTGTTTACTCTTCATAGTTCCTATGAAAGCGATTGTCAATGAGATCTATGGATTAACAAGGTTGTTGTTTCTGGAAAGACACAATCTTGGGTTTTCAAATTGGCGAATTTTAAGTGCTTCAAAGAGCACAAATTAAATACCATTCACTTGAACTGCATTGGGTTGTCAGCAGAGTTTTCAGCGTAGATATCTCAAAATCTCAGCTCGCAAAACTGAAACTAACAGCATGGCTAGATACTACAAGAGGCAAGTGATAGAACTGTGCGTGATCTGACCTTTTAGCCAGTAACGCTGAAGATTTAGCAGTTGCATTCTTTAATCCTTGAAAAGACATGTGATTACAAAAGTCTGGTTAAAGAAATAACCTGCACCCACAGCAAATGTTACGCGAGTCAAAGCTGATGCCATCATCGCACACATGAAAGACATTTTGTCTCCACTGTCGCCTCCCATCTTATCACCGTTTGATGTGCCACTGTAAACATCGTGTGTTCCCTCCACCATCACCGCCTTCCCTCACACATTCAAAGGCAACCATGCATGTTCCCATCAGTGCTGCAGGGACACTGCTGCCTTTTAATGTTTGTATGTGCCAGCAGGGTAAACACCTGCATCTGTCTAAATCCGATAAGTTCTAACTTTAGACATTTTTTAAGGCCGTCGGCGAAGTGCACATCTGAAATGCCTGTGGTAATGACCTGTACAGGCCAGCTGATGGCAATTGAGTTAGATGAATAAGTGGACGGGGCATTACATGACCAAACACACAAATAACAACTGGCCACAACTCAATCACTCAACAGATTTTACAACTAATCTGGATCAGAAATTGGTGTAAAGTAAAAAAGATGGGGTGATTAAAGTAATAATCTCGAAAACTGTTCAATCACAGAAGAAGTTCAGACGATGGTGATTGAGCCTGTGGCCCACTGATGAAAGTATTTCAATATCTAGTCATTTGCAGTATTACAAACTGGAGGTCTGTGGTGACATTCCCGAAACAAATGCTGCTTTCTCTCCATTGTATACACACACAAAATGTGTGCATGGTACTATGCTCACTATTCTGAAAATGTAATGCTCACTTAGCAACAAACTGACTCCAGACTGTTGTTGAATTTTTCACTCATGTGAAAATTCAAAGTCAGCCAGGATGGAAATCTTAAGGATTGCCACTTTGAGTACATAATAACCTGTTTTTATAAAGTAAGTTAACAAGTTAATGAAATGAATACATCGAACCGATGAGATGCACATTTGCTGGTGTGATGTAAAACATCAAGTTGTACAATGGACAGCACAGTAAGCAACTTAACAAACCTTAACAATATTATATCTCTAGGGTGGTGGGTGTGGAAGGGTTTACGGACTAGAAACATTGTTACAGTCAACACACTCAATAAATAAGTCTTCACCCAACCAAATGGTTGATACATAACTAACAATACAGTCTTGGTCAAGTGTAGTTGAAATATACAAAAATGAATGCTTTAATAGAAATCTTTGCAGTAAGTTTGCTATTTAGAATTATTACAAACTACTCAACCTTGTGACAAGTTCATCAGATCTCCTCATATACAGTAGAATGCATAACCAATTTGTAGAATATTGTAAATTGATTTAACCTTGAAAATAAATAGATCCTGGCAATTACCAGCCCTGGGCACATCTAATAATGTTAAGTAGATTATAATAAGGATCTTGTTACACAAAAGCGTTCCTCTAAATGTATGTGTAGCGGACTATTATTATCCCTTTGTGATGTCTAAAGAATTTGAACACGTGCCACAGAGCTCGGGAGTGAAACAGCAGTAGATCACCGTCTTACTACAGGTGCTGCATTCAAACAGTAGCTCAGTGTTTGAATGCAGCACCTACAGTGATACGTTAAACTTACTAAAAATACGTGCTTTAGGTTTTCTCAATGGAATTTTTTATAAATGCATGATGGTGGTAGGTCAGTGATGAAGATCTAGTCTAAAAAGATAAAAGGAAGCTGCGTTTTAGCTGTGAAAGTGCACTCCAGTAATCTGCAGTGATATCCTCCAGGCACAATGAAGTGATACTCTTTGACTTCTCAAAAGTCTGATTCAATTCTTCAAACACTATAAACAGTTCTACTTTGTTAAACCACTGTACTTATTAAATTGATTCGTTTTTAAAATAAGTGGAATTTAACATTAATTTAGAGTTGAAGTGAGGGGGGGGGGGGGGGGGGGGGGGGGGGGGGGGCGGATAATGGAGGAAGTTAATCGTAAGCTCAAAGGAGCAAAAGAAAATCTTTATACGTGTAAAAGATTCTTACGTGGCAAATATGAGCTGCGTTATATTTCTAGTAGTACTTTTCACTGACACATTTTTTGTTTGCTGCAAACCAAAATATTAGCTGTGTTTTAATGGAATTAGTTTGGATTATATATAAGCTTAATGCTTTTAAATTAATAAAACATAACTAGATCTATCTGTACGGTCAAGTGGTTAACACAGCACTAACATCAGTGTATTTACCATGATTTAAGGCACCGTCATTTGAGTTTGTTGGGTCACATCTATCTGGTTGACAATGCAACTGCGATCTAACGTCATCACTTTAGTAAGTGATACATCTGCTTTCCCCGCAACCTGATGCTTATTCTGCACAGGAAAGACAGTGAGTTGAAACAACTGCCCAAACGTGACAATAGAAATATGCTAATTTGCTTTCATTTTCATGGGGTGGAAACTGCAACGTCAGCAGGTATATGAGTCAACTGTGCTTGTTGTAGTCAAAGGAAGCTGAGATTTCTTCTCATATTTGTCTGTTTATTGATTTTGGTTTGATGTTTTGTTTTGAATAAGAATAGGGAAGGCTGATGCTGCTGATAAGACAAGCTGGACCGGTCGTTCACCCATCCATGACATAAGTTTGGACAGACGTGTTTTACTGTACAAGAACTTTGATAAGAACTTTGATGTCAGGAAGTGTGTACTTCACACAACCTACTGGTTTGTACTTGTAGCATTAAGGGTGGATGGTATTTGGCTGTTTGGATGGTATTACGCTGTTCAGGCATGTGGTTGTCTGTCTTTTCCTAGTTTCATTATCCACACAGGCTAAAGATCATACGAATTAATGAATGTCTAACATGGACATTCTGCGCTTGTCAAAAGTTGTTGTTTATCTCAAAAGGGAGCAGTTTTACTCTTTAATAATTGTTTTCTGTTCTGCCCAAAGTGACAGTGAGTTAAGTCTCTCATAAACAAAGTGTGAATCAAGTGAAATTCTATCCAAAAGGACATCGAAGTGTCACATTACCTGTTACGCCGCGTCCGTAAACAATGAGTCTTCTGCTCTAGACTTAAGTAAATGCAAATCAGCTGGATCAGATGTAATGAAAACACATTGATTCTGCATAAAACTTTCACTATGAAATGTGCATAAAACTGCATGCCTCCTCTGTCCATCCTCTGCCAAGCAAGTCATTTCATTATGCGGCTTAACATGCAGCTCTTCGTGAGTCTGTTTCTCACATTTCTGCTCCATTCTTCAATGCCTGCTTGTCTGTGGCTCTTTAAGTCTGTACTAATGGATCTGTGTCTAAGTGGGCCTTCTGGTACCAGCCTAGTATGATCTCTCAAGTGATCAATCTGTGCTAGAAGTCCCACTTAGACAGCATCTAGACTGCACTAACACCACCGGTTTTTGATCTGTTCGTTCTGTTTCACTCTGATGGGCGCCCCTGCAGTCGGCTGACCCAGGGAGACATTGGGCAGTGGGAGGACCCTGAGGCTGGCTCCATGACAGAGAACAAACCAGCGTCACGACACTTTTACCCCATTGCCCTGCTGCTCGTTAGCTCGCACTTACTGGTTGTGTGGCTCATTTTAAGTCTTGTTTTTCTGCTTGCAAAATATCAATAAATTGCTGACAATGCCATCTCTACTCACTCCTTTTTCTGTGTTTGCTGGTTATTCTCTTTTGAGGGGTGGTAGTTGGATCTGACAGACTTTCTCAAAGAAAGTTAATAAGTGCGAGTGATTTCATATCAACATCAAGCTGTGAGGTGTTAACCCCTGATTAGCAGCGAAGGATTGGGGAAAATCTATTTCAATCAGATGGTATCAAGTAAAATAACCGGCAATTAAATGTTTACTCTTTCTTGATTTGCAAGGAATCTTTTCTGACAAGCTTTAAGTCAGTCCTTAACATCTGACAAGAACAAACTTTATTTAGACTAATGTTAAAGCTAGGCTCACGCTAACTTGATATCGATATACATTACATTTATATTGACTCGCAGACATCTTCATTTTAAGGTGGATATGCCTGGCATTTGTCAATATTTTTCCAAGAGCTGAACAATGTTCAAAGCTTTCTGACTTCCCGTCCCTGACTGTGTTAACCAGCCCCAAGCCCATTAATACTATTTATACAAAAAAAAGTAAAAAGGCTGTTGTTTTTCGTGAAACAGCTGGGCACTCTCGTTTTTTTTTGCTTTAAGCTGCGGAATAATACTCATTTGGTTTACTGGTGAGAACAGGTATTTACAGCGGCAGGACGATGTATGAGGGATTGGTCCAAAATATACTACAGTTCCTATGTTCATCATAATGAAAGATCATGTCACCCATTGCACCAATGGGGCTCATTGATGTGTGTTTAATAGTTTTTGAAAAAAAACTAGTTTTTTGTTTTTTTACCATCATGGTGTGCGCCGTGTATCTTGTGAGTGTAGCTCTTGGCTGATTTCCACACACCAG